GAAGGTAGGATACGACCGTGTTTTTTAACCAGGTCTGTAGAATGCACTTTAATCATGAACACCGTGTTATGTGAGGAACGCTGTACGCTTTAAATTTGTCGATCTAACTCAGAGCCAAATTTCACTTATATTTTCTCCCAAAGTCAACACCACTATGAAAAAATAATTCAATCGTACATACCACGAACATAATACATTAATTAAACCAAGGGCAAACAATTGCCATTTTTGTTGACTAAAAATACTTCTAAATATAAATTATATCATTCAACTTGTACGAGCTGATTAGTAATATATATAACATCACATATATTTGTATAGCCACATAAATATTTTGCTCTATCTATCCCTCTCTATCTCTCTCTTTCTCTCGCTCTGTCTCCTGAAGCAAGTCAGTTTTGTCCTTTTTTGGCCATTGAATTCCCCCCTTTTTTTTGCCCGCTAATATTATCATAGTTTGCTGTTGCTGTAATCTTAAGTTTAAGAGCTGCATGCACTTAAAGCGCAAATTTACGCTGCAGCTCTTCTGCACTTGCTTAGTTATTCGTTTCCAACATAAATTCGTCCCTATTTTCACGAAGTGACGGTAGTGAGGAAAATCGTCACGCAAAGTGAATGCAATTTTTTTTCTCACTACCGTCACTTCGTGAAAAAAGCGACGAATTGTGTTATTCATTGTGATTTAAAAAATTGTTACCACTATGTACACGATTTTCATACAGTTTTTATGTTACTGATCATTTTTTTTAAAAGAACGTAGAAATCAATAAATCAAATCAAATCAATTCAAATCAAATTAATTCAAATCAAATCAAATATTTGTTATGCCGTCTTCATCATCACACTAAATACCTTTAGTACAAAATAGTAGCATAATGATTAATTTTAGAAAGAGTTATCAATCAGTTCCGTTGAATTCTTTTCAAATATTTTTGAAGGACATGACTTGCGTTGATCTTCAGTCATGGTGAAAATTACACCACCAGCTGCCCATGTCATCATCTCTCGTTTCGCTTTTCGCTTTTTTCAAAAATAATATTTGCTGTGGGTATAGTCAATGGCGTAACTAAAGACCCCCCACCAAAAAGAAAATCGAATGACGCAAATGAACAAAAAAAACAAGAGGAGAGAAGAGTAGAGAAGGAGAGGGAAATAGGGGGAGAGAACGTATTTCTAACAAACTGATAACACCTTTTCCAGATCCCTGACCCATAGTCTTGTTCGTTTGCATTTCTTATACATGTACATAGAATGGGCCTAAGACAGAACCCCCTCCCCCGCAATCAGCGTCCCCTATAATTATTATGGCAGGATCCACTACTGCAAGTACATGGTTCAGATTGCAAAGGCGGAAGTTGCATAGAACCCCCCCCCCCCCCGTACGCACATATACATCGCTTCAAGTTCTCTGCCGATTGTACGCATGGTTTAATGCTCATGGCTCGTGAGGGCATAGGTCCACAAGTAGGGGCAAATGGTCGAAAAGGGGTACTTCAAACGCCACTGTTTTTTCCATTTCATGTTCCTGATACATTTTATCTTTCCTAAATTGGTTTATATTGGTATATGGCGGGCTGGAAATGTTACTCATGAGTATTTTTTCTTCTTCCAAACGGAATCCCCTTCTAATGAAAGGAAGCCGTATAAAAAAAAAAAAAAAAAAAAGTACATAGGCTTATTAAGGTAAAATGTTATCAATACTCATTAAGCTTAAAACGTTTTGATTCACTCACATTTACCATGATGACTGAATTTAGTTCACTAGTCTGACCTTCTTTATTCACGTCATAGGCATCCTAGAGTCATGAAAGTGTATTTGAAACATTTTAGTTCCTGATGTCTTTGTGACAAGTTGGTTTAATCCAATCCATTTATATCATGTGCCATCATAGGATCGATATGATTCCTCTTAGAAATTAGTCATTTCGATCGATCTCCCCCAAAGTTGATTGATGTTTGGAGGAATTTTTCGTGCAAGAAAGAATATTGATGGTTGCCGTATAGAAGGGAAGAAACTTCAAGTACAAGCATCATTAGTTGGGTAGCCGCAAATTGGGTTTCCTCTAATCAAGCAGAGAAGATATCGACAGTTTGGGGGTTTCTGGTGAATCAGCAAGAAGCGATGCACGTCAAACGGAAAATGTTGCATTTTCTTCTCTCTTCCAATCGCTGAGTTTTAAGTGCTTGAGCTTCATCCAGGCATGAAGAAACAAAATCCTTTCCAAAATCGACGAAAATGGACTATGCTTTGCACCTTATAAAAGAAAAAAGGCGACTATATCGAGAAACTGTCATACTAAAATTGGCGCCATAATTGCTATGTTGTTATGACGTTATTAGCTAAATCCGACAGTAGTCTGACCTTAAAATATTCTAAATGTTTGTTTGTGAAATTATTATAAATAACGGAAACCTTTATTAACACAGAAGCTTTGGCAGGGAAGAATGCGTTTTGGAAAAAACTGTTATCACATCATCAATTATCATCTTTGATTAATGCTGTCTAATCCCATTTTCTGAGTTTCCTGAAATTGTATTTCGGTGGTAAATACATACGGATGCTCGTTAAAGTATTTTCCAAAAAGCCAAAATCAGGGACGAATATGAAGGAAAAAATTTACTGAGCGTAGGGATGAGTGCACGGTATAAGTTTTCCTAAATAAACTGTTTTATTAGGAATATGAATGAAGATAAAATGCTCCCCGATACTTGCTCTGAGGGAGGGGGAGGGGTAATTTCCCTTCGATGTTATTTCTTATTTATCAATGGTGGGGGGGGGGGGGGGTAGAGATATTTTTTGCTACCTTTGAATTAACCTATGTGATCGTGTTTTTTTTCGTTTAAACAATTTTAGTCTTGGTGAAACCTTATAAAATTATGTTGATGTTACGACTTGTTTTCCTACTCGTGGGGTCTCAACTTCAACTCATTCTTGTCTCCATATCCAGTCAACTCTGGGAAAAAAGGCTTAAAACTTTACACTGTCCTGTTTCTGGATTTAAAGAGGAAAACAACAACGACCTACACCTAAAATGTGTTTAATGCGCTCTTATTCTTAATAATAATAATCTGAATGTTTGCGCTTAATACGGAATGCCAATTCTGAGCGCTTTACAGAGTATTATACAGGCGCGGATCCAGGATTTCTTAGGGGAGGGGGCCCAACTATTTATTTTTTTTGCTCCCGAAAATTTGAAAATCGCGCCGGCCGAAAAGTCGCTCAGTTGGGGGGGGGGGGGGGGGGGGGGGGGGTAGTGAGCACATTTTTTTTGGGTCCTCGAATATTTAAAAATTTGCACCCCCCCCCCCCCTGGATCCGCCACTGGTATTATACCCCGGTCATCGGAGTAACTCCCGCACAATGTGCACCACCTCCACTCCCTAGGGAGTATTCCTACCATATGGTCACCGTGAGGGCATATGCATTATGCAATTACTAACATAAATGCTTTCGTCATCCTACCGGGCCCCCCATTGCGCTCTTGGGTATTGAGTGGCAAATAAAGAGTAATGCCTTGCCAAGGGACATCAGTGCCGTGTCGGGGATTATAAGAGGACTCATGCGTGATGAATATAGACGTTGTAGTCTATACACGAATAACTGAGCGAGGGTTATTATTGGATACGGAAAAGGAAATATGGCTTCTCTCGATTCCTAAACATCGAGTAGAACATAATCTGTAAAGAATTCTTTTCATGAGTGAATCAGTCGAGATACAACATAAAGATTATGCAAGTTCTGGAAAACGCAGGCTTTCCACGGTGAAAATACCAGGGATTGTTACATGCAGGCGTTGGTTTATCCAAAATTAGATAAGTTAGAGCTCCGCCGACTTTTACCAAATTTAGCTTTTACAATTACATAGAGAAGAGACAGGGTTATCAATTTTGTTATTTTCCCATAAGGTTCTAAAAATGTCATATGAAGCTGCCGTCAGAAAAGTTTGATCCGACCCCCGATAATAACTGCCTTTAGTGAGGCTTTTGATATCATGAATAGAGAATGGATCCACTTTAAATTTCTCCTTTGCTTTAGGAGACACTTACTTGAATTTAATTTAATTTATCAACAAAAACATATCAAATTAATGACAGTATGTATTATGAACAATCATACAATGTAAAGAATAATAATGAAACATGAATACATGAAGAAAGAGTAATGGTCATTGAACATTAATGGCTCTAAAACATATTTCGACATATAGATCTGCAAACTATTTAACCTAAAAGATATACAAGTAATCAAATGTATTATGTACAGTATGAAGTTCTTAATGGGAACTAGAAGTTCGCACAAGTGTAATTAGTCGATCCTAGTTGCACTTTTTGAATTTAATTTTTTTAAAAATATCTGCATGTAAAATTATGTTTTTTATTTACAATATTGTATACCAAAAATAAGATATAGTAACCTGTAACGTTTTAGTCAATTTCTTAAAGAAAATGAAAGGTAAAAGCGCTAAAGGATTAACAAGGCTAAACAATTACGATCATCACTATGTTCGCAATATTAATGAGGCATACAATTATTATAATATGTGCGTTCATGCGCCAATTCTGTAGCTATAAATCATGACAGTGTATACATACAAAAGGAAGGCAAGAAAAACAAACATAAAATTAATTGGGGGGGGGGATGGGTGGTGAACCCACGTTATTTACATAGCCATCGGTAGTTTGAAAGATATGTCACCGAAAAGCTGACGTAAATAATCTAATTTCATGTGGAGATCGTTCCATAGTTTTGTTCTGTGGGCTGTATAAAAGCTTTATGTAGGCCTAAATAATGACGCGTGACAATCAAATTACTGAAGACCGTCAAGTTTGACGAGAGGCGCTTTACGTCATTCTCACGCGATCCACTCCACTTGCACCCCCCCCCCCCCCACAGACGTATTTTAGAGTCCTGTGCCCCCCCCCCCGGATTCCAGAATCGAAACAAATTTTCAACCAATCATAGGATATCTTACAAAGGAAACACCATTCCATTGACCAATCAGGAGTTAGATTTAATGTTTCCAACAGCTGTGGGATTTAAACTTGGCAACAAAACTACCACAAGCCACAACATAGGAAGACGATTACGAACTTGGCATATTAGTTTAAATGTAAGTGTTTGATGTGTTTATTATTTTTCACATACTGATTCATGTCAAAAGTTTGATTAGTGGACGGAGGTGTTCTTTGCTTTAACGCAGATTCTGGTCGATCGCGGCTAAACCGTGAGCCCAGTCCCATACGTTCATATTCCAGTTGGTTGATATAATTAATTGATTGCACGGTTTCGGCTTATTAGCTCGCCCGCGCGCTGCGCCCGGCATTTGCGCGGTGCCGGTGATGTCTGATCGTGATAAACATAATCTGTCACTGACACTGACTATGACTGACAGTTATTAATCAGCATCAGCATCAGTGTACGAAAGTGTGAGGTGATCCTGTTAAAACTTCAAGTCGTTTCATCGAGTGCATGGTTTTTCATTCTAACCTGAACTATTTTTGCTTGCATGGTGCCTGGTTTAGACAATGGCAGAATGGGAGTCGGGCTATTAAACTCGCCCACGGGACATCTCGCTCCAGCCTCAAAGACTGGGGCGAGATGTCCCGACATGATTCATCAATCTGTAATGTAATTTTGTCAATTGATACTATTGAAGACAATCTAGACCCTATAGATCTATCTTCTCTTTAGGTAAAATGACAAAAAAAATGGCATTTTTTTTTTTGACAATTTACTCACAGCTCGCAATTTGTGATTCATCGATCGAGAGATACCATTTGTGTATATGTTTGTGCTCATTGTGACTTAATAATGCCATTTCCAACCACAATCTGTAATGGAAGTTTGTCAAATGATACTATTAAAGACAATCTATCTTCTCTTTAGGTAAAATGACAAAAAAATTGCATTTTGGACAATTTACTCACAGCTCGCAATTCGCATCGCCGCATGTACATTAAATGTGCGTTGTATCGATACGAACCACTGAAATTCGAGCAGTGTTTTTGTCAGTAAATCACTGCAAAAATATCATTTTCATAATGTATGAAGGTCTATTTTTGATTCCTGATATAAATTTTGTTATTGAGAAGTCGAATGTACTACATTTTAGACGAGATGGCTGATGTTTGTTCACATTCTTTCGTCCTGGCCATAAATTATCTCTGGACCGATGAATCATGTCGGGACATCTCGCCCCAGTCTTTGAGGCTGGGGCGAGATGTCCTGTGGGGCGAGTTCGCCCGGATTCGCCTGGTTGGCATGGTGGATGCACAATCTTATCATGATTGTTATGTTAGTTTGAACAAGTTTGTTTCCAATTATCATGTTCCATGGGCGCTAGTGATTGTAGTCTAGGTACCGTACAGTAGTGTACTTTTGCAATGGGTGGGTGTTCACTTTCATTCCACACCGGGCGCCTAAAATTCCCTTATTCTGTTTATCATTACACTTACAAAAACAATTTAGATAGATCTAGATCTACATTGTTACTAGCTAACTACTAGCTCTGATGCTGACGCCATGCAAACACCCAAAAGTTGTGGAAAATGGGTCTTTTTTAAAAGAAAATTACCTAAAATGACCCCTAATAATGGGTAGGGGTTTCGAGGCTTGAGCGGCACACCCCCCGTCCAAACCAAATCTGAGTATCCCCCAGGGTTGTTACTGTGTTATAGAGATACACTCCCTGTGATTACTTTAAAGGAGAAGTGCGTGCATGGTTATGTTTGACCAAACTTTTAAAAGGGGCATGTCATTGTGCAAAAAGTGCTTTTGGCTGGTGGCATATGGTGTTAATAATAATAATATACTGTTAATTTATTAAGTCCAGCTTTACAGCCAAATGTACCTCATTCTATATCTATTAATAATTTAATATTAACTGAGCTTAGATCTAGGCCAATATGAGGTGGACAGCCCTGGGAGCTGGGTTACATTAAAACAAAAATAACAAGGCAATTTGGCACAGCATGACTTGTACTGCCTGTTACAATTTGTTTAGAAGCTGATCTCTCATTCTCATTGGTCCTTTTTATTTTCTCCAACAGAAGCAGTATGTCTACGTCAACTGAATCCGATAGTATCCCCATGCTTCCTCCCGATGATTCTCCGGGAAGCTCCATTTCCTCCTGTCTCCAGGAAGAGTACCAGGAGCTGCTGCAGTATGCTGTAGTGACTCCTCTGTATGATCCTTCTCGGCTCCCTCAGACGCTTGCTGGAGCCGCACGGTCATTTCAGCCTCAGAGACCAATCAAGGACCAGCTCATCTATCTCCAATCAAGCGGTAAGTTATGATCACTAAAGTCAAACAAATTTGAAAGTTACAAAGAAATGGGTATTGTTATCATAATAACAGACTTGAAAAAAACTTGACAAGGCATTCAGTCTTGTTGTTCTTGTTAAAAGATATCATGAGTACAAAAATTATAAAAGCATGTTTGCAAGTTTATAGTGCCAGTTATTTTATTTTATTTTTATGTACACCTGTATATATGGAAAATTAGCTGCACTCATCAAAGGCCATTACATGTATTCACTCATGTGTATGTTATGCGATGCAAAAGATGTGAAACTTATGAGGAATAAACATTATTTGATTTTGATTTTGGTAGTTGAACATGTCATGAGATGTTATAGCAGACTTTATAAAAGCTCATTCAGAATATGACTGGCTAAACCGCCATTAAAAAAAAAAGTGGCACAATTTGTTTATACATACCGGTAGATAAGTGGCATATACGCGAAACATAGGTCATGTGCATGTTCACTGAGCAGTGAGCTTTCAGTTAGATGCAGAATGTGAAGCATACTGCTCTTAAAGATAAAGGTGAGTTCTGGTAATGCGATTGCCTTATGAAAGAAAAGGTTTGCAATGGATCAGAAATAGTTGATCATGTAGCATGTAAGTATTGGTGTGCACTGCAAGGTTCTGGATTCATCAAAATCATAATAAAATTTGGCCCAGTCTTGGTAAAGTAACAAGCACTGTACACATAAGTACATGGGACTACACAAAAGGTGTGGTGTAGGGGCTAGCTTACCTTGATTTTCTTATCTTTCTATGCTCATTAATCAGCCAGTATACATTTTTTTCCAAAATTGTTTGGCACATGACATTTATTTGTAATCTTGAACATTCAGTGCAAGTTTCATATGATTCTGTGAGAATTCCTTTTTTTTTTTTTTACCAGAACTCAAGTTTATCTTTAATGTCATAGTGAAAAACTGCTGTCATATGTGAATGATGTTTAAGAGTTATAATATAATTTGATGAGTGAATCATTTTGGGTCAATTTTACTTCATTGACATGACTATCTCCATCAACATTCTTTTCTCATCTTCTTCTTTTTTTCAGAAGGGAGTAGCTCAGCGAGTGAAGCTTCACCACAACTTAGAGAGAGCATGGTTGCTACCCATGGTTCACTCAACGGTGAAGAGACCCAAACAGAGTCGCAGGATGAAAGAGGTTCTAGAGATCAAGAGCTCAGGAGAAGAGACCTTACTGGTTGGTATAGTATTAATAATCATAGCCAGTCACTTTTGATTGGAAAAAAAATGGTGATATTATTATAAGCTACGTGTATATTTGTATTGCACACATTTCCACTCCAAGATATGCTCAATGCACCTACAAAGTACTACCACAGTCAAACCTGCTTCAGTGACCACCTGTCTACAAAGACCACAATTTTTGTTTCCCTTGAAAATGGTATCTCATTGAAACACGTACTAAACGAAGCTGTCTACAAAGACCATCTGTCTACAAAGACCACCTGTCTACACAGGCCACTTTTTATGTTTCCCTTGGGTTGTCTCTAGACAGGTTTGACTGTATTACCCTTGCTTTAGCCAACTTACCTTAAGGCACTTAAGGCACCAAGATAAACAGGCAACATTTAAAAATTGGCCCATAGAGAAAATGTAAGTGATTTATGAATTATTAAGAAGTACTTTGAGGGCACAGAATCATTTTTTCTCCTCCAGATTTCCCGTACCATAATGTAGGTCTAGTGCACTTAACCTTTGAGGTTTTTTTTTAGACAATCCAAGTGCCAAATCTGGTTGCACAGTCTCTATGCTTTCATATTCATTATTTTTCATTTTTTTTGTCATTCTTTTTTTGTTCTCTCTTTTTATGTCTCCTCTTTTTTCTCTCACTCTCTCTTTCTCTCTCTCTCTCTTCTCTCTCTCTCTCTCCCTCTCCCTCTCTCTCTCCCTCTCCCTCTCTCTCTCTCTCTCCTCTCTCTCTACTTCCCTCCCTCTCCCTCCCTCTCTCTCTCCCTATCTCCCTCTCTCTCTCTCCTACCCCCCTCTCTCTCTCTTTCTCTCTCTCTATTTCACTCGTCCCTTCCCCCCCCCCCCCCCCCTCTCTCTCTCTCTTCCTGACATTCAGCTCCAGCGAATGAATTATGTAGCCCAGTTAGATCCTATCCGCCGGATGATCCCGGATCTGATAGTACCCCAACCACTGACCTGTCCACCCTAACTGACCAGTCCAGCTTGGCTAGTTCTCCTGCTGTGGACCAGGGCCTGATCCGCATGGAGAATTTGCTAGACAACTGGAGCCTGGAGCTGAAGAGGAGTGTTTTAGTAAGTTATCCAGCCTTGTCATCGCAAAATTTGGTACCTGTCTGGTTTTATACTTAAAGACTCGCCAATGATATGATGAACAGGTCCAGGATGGTCTTCTGACACATGCTCCATCAACGGTTGTCATGAGCTTAATTTTTACACTAACCTTGTTGCTAACCGAGCATCAACCCTACAGGTCCATAATGCTCAACCAAGTATGAAATCAAATGGCAACCATAATTCCTACCATCTATCTGGTGACGAAACAAATCCAGCCTGGAAAAAATGTCGCTGGAGCATGAGTCACATTTAAGATTGCATACCGGTATGTTCAAGGTAGATTTTTTTTTTAAAGTGCAAAATTAAAAATAAGATTTAAATTGCAGAGACTGCTAGGAAAATTTGGGACATTGAATTCCAAAGCATGCACTAAATGCTTTTGATCTCCCTTTTTAATTTTTATATTTTTTACTTAGAATCTCCTGAAATTTGGTAAACAAAGTGTGTAGTGAATAACGTTTTGCATTATGATGACAACCTGAATTCAATTGTAATAGTACACCTTGCATAGTTTTATGCCATTTGTTTAACTTTCATAAGTGTTTGTAATATGCAGCCCAGATGATAAAGGATATAAAAGAGGTTCAATTTCCTTTGCTTTGTTTGCAAGTTGCCTAATTAAAAACAGTTACCGGTATTCAAATACATTTCAAAATTTAAAATTAAATTTATTGATAAACTTGAATCATTTTGCTGGTATTCAGTTTGGAAAATTTTAGTTGAAATGATAATGATATCCAAATGAATCAAGATGGTCGAAAAATTAGGGCACTTGATTTACCTTGCTCAAGATTTAATTGAGGAGCAGAGAATTCTACAGATTCAGATTCAGACTCAGATTAATTTTATTGATCCATTTGGAAATTCAGTTGTTGGCATTACATAAGCACATGAACAATATACAATAGAAAATAATATACACAAATAGATAATACACAGTAGCAAATGTACAATGACATATTCATATGGAAACACGGATATAAATCGTTTTACATACATGTAGTGGAATGATATAAGAAAATAGAATAAATAAATTGACTTCCAACACTATTGAAAATGTACGATTTCGTAGAATTCGGAAATAGTATTGTTATTATATTTTATTATTATTATTTTTATCATTATTATCATTATCATTATTATCGTTACCATAATTATTATTGTTACTTTTATTATTATTATTATTATTATTATTGTCATCATCATTATCAACAGTATTTATTACATGTATCATTCTTTGTCACGGTTTTATAGCTGAATGCTTTCTTCGTTTTTTTCCTTCATAAATTAAACGGTTTATAACTAAAACTTGGAATAACATATGGTATCATAGAGTAAGATAGATTATTTATTTATTTGCTTGTGATACTGGTACAATCGGTTGAAAAGGAAAGGGTACAATGCAATTGATGATTAGCGAAGTGGCAAGATACAGGCTTATTCAAATTGACTGGAGTTGTTCATTGTATTTACGAATGGAAAGCGGGACAAAAGAATTAAGGAATCGTGAAGTTCGAGCCTTCATTGATCTGTACCGCTTCCCCGATCGCATTAGGGTATAGCAGTGATGAAGGGGGTGATTAACATTTTCCAAAATCTGGGATACCTGTTTCAGTATTGTACACACGCATTCCTGTTTCAGATGAGTTAAAGAATGAAGGGATAGTGTCAACTGGTGGTCTTTTGCTTTAAGTCTGTATCTTAACCTTTGAATTTTGAAATCAAAACCCATTTCGGTCAAGATGAAAGAAATTTGCCTGGACGTAAATCATCCACCTTGTGGCCATGATCTTACAAGGAAATGGAGGAAGGAACATTAGGGAATCCATGGTGCCATTTTAGTCTGAATCAAGACTTTGTTGCGGTTATGCTGAATGTTCGCAATGCTTGTAGCAACACAGGTCAAGTCCTTCAGTCCGTGCAAAGGAATAATTTAATTTTCTAGATGATGATCTCATCTTAATTGATTTGCCTTGTATATTCATGCAATGAAAACCTCTTCAAAACAGAATTTAAAAAAAAGTCCTATGGAGTGACTGAAAAGGGTCTGCACTTGTAAACTAGCTAAATAGCTTTGAGGCCTTTACTACTAGTGCTTGTTTTGCATGGATTGGTACACTTATTGAAGTACACCTACAAGACTGCTTGTCGTGGGTCAACACTCACCTTGCTAGTATTAAACTGCTTGTGTGGCGTCGGTTCCAGGGCACCATTGACTATCGTAGTACGTCTCCTTGGAAAGAAATAGGTCGAATGTTTAATGAGGCTGTAGTAGGTAGATGTCAGAAAGGATCGTTGCTCTTCCAGGTCAAGAAGTGGTAAATGACATAAAGAAAGGAAGAAAGAAGGATAGAAAGAAAGTAAGAAGAAAGGTGTAGAAAGTAAGAAGAATGAAATCAACAATGAAGAAAAAATGTAAGAAAGTAGAAATAAATGATAAAGAAAGAAAGAAGAAAAGAAAGTAAGAAGAAGGATAGAAATGAAAGAAAGGAATAAACCATACAGTATAGATTTGTAGATATGACTAAAAGTCATGAAATAAAAAATAAACCAAGGGAAGACATTAAATATTCTGCTTATATTGAGGAGAAGGGAGACAAAGCAGTGTTTTTGCCTTAATTTGCTTTTCCATAATCATTTCTTACATCGTTAATTATGCTATTATTCTTCCCATTTTTCCAGGCTGAGCTTAGTCAGGCCAAGATTGCAGTCATAGAGAGATCCAGAGTGGAGGTTAGATTACAAAGGGAAAGGTAAGTATTACAATGTTTTAGAATTGTAATTTAGATAAGACATGGTAACTGGCTGCAAAAAGTATAGCTGCATGAAACAGTTCCCCCTGATGCTTTGTACTCTTTGATATTAAAGCAGATAGACATGTGATGTGCATTGTGCTTTAGATCCTTTTGCCTCATGAGGATTTTTTTTCTTCTTTTTTTTCTTTTTCTTTTTCTTTTTCTTTTTCTTTTTCTTTTTCTTTTTCATTTTTGAAGGGGGGGGGGGGTTGGGGTGGTCACATGTGGCTTTCCCTCAAAGATACTTATACTTTGTAATAAACTAAGATTGTCATCTCTTGAGTTGCATGTCTTGTTCTTTTTAATAAACTAATACATTTCTTTTCATTTAAAAATTAACAAAAAACATGTACAGACATGTATAGCCTGTAAAAATACTGTAAAGATAATCCTAACTGTTTCCTTTTCGTGCGCAGATCTGACAAGGACCTGAGACGGGTGCAGAATGAGATTGAGAATCAGAAGGAGTTGCTTCACACGTACGAGCAATCGGTAGAGCGTAAGGATCACATCATCTCCAACCTGACCCGAGCCGTCCAGAAGGAGAAGGATCGGTTTGAGATGCTGGGGAGATTCCAATCCTGGAAACTAAGACACAGCGAGGATAAGAGACAGGTATTAGGTTTAAAGCTGGACTGCACTACTTGTAGCTACTTGCGCCCTCTATATAGCCAACAATGCCTAAGCGGTACCCGTTGATACCCTATGGTCCCCTTTTTCTTATGTTAATTGAGAGCTGATGTGATAAGATAACTACCTGCCAGTGATCACGTACGGAGGTCCAATCCCTCCTGGCCAAACTAGTGCAAATAGGCGTTATTGGTATTTTCCTTGGAAGTTTGCATTTCTAGAGAATTTAAAAAAATCTTATTAATTTGATGTGAAGTTCAGAATTATAAATTGACTGTTTGGGGCCACAAAGGCATGAGCTCATGTTCTTTCACGTAGAAATGCCCTTTCGACTCCAACAGACAAAACATTACCAAAAATGTCAATACCTTGTCAAGTTATCATACCTTATACAAATTTCATTTGAGATTCATAAGTTAAAAAACATTTCCATTTTAACCTTGTGTATTGTCTGCTGAATTGCGTAACATAAGATTGACCTTCCTGTTATGGCAATTAGCCTTTATGTGCTTATTGCGTTTGCCCACAATACGATTATAGTCACCGGACTAATATTGTGGAATGAACTCCCGACAGATTTGATAGGTAGCTGTTCCTGTATACCTTTATATGCAAATTCAAAGTGTTCCACCTACACACTTACGTAATTCACCCCAATGCTACCTGCTACATACTGCTCTCTTTTTTTGCTATTCGTCCTTCGTCTTTTTACGCCTCTCGTTTTTTTGCTTCTTTTTTTTAAATATAAAATTGTTATTAAATATAATTTACATGCACAATAGACTGCTCTCATCTATAAGGGGAATGTACAAGTAACAAGTTTAGCTTTTTACTAGATTCCCTCATAATTCACAACAAATACATTGTCTAATTTCATCTTAAGTACCATGCAATTGAATTTATATCTCTCTATGTTATTTTGACTGTATTAATACTTCATGGCTTGATATAAAGGTATCTAATTTCACACCTTTCATTCTTATTGTTTATGATTTATGTTATGAATGTGAATGTGAAATATGAAATAAACTAAACTGAAACTGATATTAAAACTAATTGACCTAGGGGAGTATTCCCAGGGCAGTAGTTGTCCAGGTAATTGTTAAGTATTTTTTTACCCATTGAAATGTGCAAACATAATGATCTATGCAGTTGTCAGGAGGTGTGGTATTTGATCTAAATAGTAAATGGGGGGGGGGGGGGGCACGGTCCATGGGGTACTAGTAGTCATGGATACTATCACAAAAAAAAAAAAACTCCATTTGTGTTTATCGGTTGTAATTTTAAAAAAACCTATTGTTCAGCAATCAGCATTATAGAAAGAAGACATGATAACAATCCCAAATATGTTTGAAATGTTTTGCCTAGGTCTTCACTGCCAAACTTGCAAAGCGGCACCATGAGAGGCATTTGAAATCGAAAGTCTGGTCTGCCTGGCATAGCATCATCGTTGCCAAGTGGAGACAGAGGGTAGAGAAGGCGTGCCAGAGTAAGGCTCAGGAAGTCTGTATGAAACTCACCAATGACTATGAGGCAAGATTAGCATCGGTAAGTTGTTTGTTTTGTAGTCAGAGGGTCTGTGAAAAGTCTTCTCTAACATTTGTTTAGATCTTTTCAGATTGTACAAAATTGCAAAATAACCTTGAGTGGTATTATAGCTTTAAGAATTGGACAATGGTTCAAAATAGGACATAGAAAAGTGATGCAAAGTTATCAAACTTGGCAACTTTCAATTATCATTTTGACCATGTTAATTATTTAACATTCCCATCAATTGAACTAGGAATGTCTCTTCAAAGACATATACACTGTAAGTTTTAAACATGAGCCTAAACCATGCAACTAGTAGAGAACAATTTGCTTAGTATTTTAGCTCTATCTGATTCTAAATTTACTATTGGTAAAATATAAGCTGTTGTCTTGGAAGTTGGACCAATAGTAAACCAGAGCTATAATCCAGAAGGTAATGATACCTTAAATTCTTTCCAATTAAGTACTGCAGTAAAATTTTAATCCAGCCTTAATCCCTTTGCTTTTTTTTTTTTTTTCTTTCCTTCTTGATAGTTGAATGAAGCCCTGGAAGCTTCACGAGTCGAGGTGACAAAGCTCCACGCAGAGAGAGATTACTATGAAGAATCTATGAAGAAAGCATTCATGAGGGGTGTCTGTGCGCTCAATATGGAAGCCATGGCTATGTTTCACGATGGCGAAGGTAAGAGTGTGAAGTTATACGTGGAGGAGGAGGAAAACTACAAATAATGTGCTGATTTTATGGCCTCAATTAATGCACATTCTTTACAGTCTAATCCTATTTAATCCTATTTGTATTCCTTGTGAGCATGATAATGGTGATATTGTTATCGAAATGTGTTTCTTGAATGGCCTCATTCTTTTTTAAGAACATATATTGTTAGATGCTTATTGTTCAAAAGTCCTTGACTGATTTTGAGTAAAGGTATTGAAATCATGTTTTCTAAATTTCTACACAACTTTAGTAGAAACATGCAGTATACAATGCAAAATAAACCAGTGGAATCTTTGAAAATTTTAATAACTATTTTCTTTCAACATTTGATTTTTGATGTGTATTTTGTTGGGTCTAAATGTTTTATCTCTTTTCAAATTTTGTTAATACATTAACTTTATACGAGCTTTTCAAAATGTTACAGAATTTCAGTTATACTGCAGAGTGTTTATTTTGCTGTATTTAACTGCATGTAAAGTTTGTCATGTCAGTACAATATGCTCCATTAAAATGTCCAAATTTATATAATAGCAGGGAATAATTTATAAATAAACAAGTACCTAATTTCGTCTTGTAACATTAATTGCATGGGAACGAAATGACAAATATACCTTAAAGCCTCCTAAACAGTTAAATTAAAGCTTAACAGTAGTGTATTTTGAGACAGCATGACTTTATGTAGATTTGTTCCAATTACATCACAAAATTAAAAAGTGCCTTATTCAATTTTAGAATCCATAACATTCTTACTCAATTCCAGTTCTTTTCAAAATGATATAGGAATTGAATGCTGATTGTATGATATGATTTCACACACTTGATATTCCAATGTCCCTTTAAGGTTTGTTACATTCTCTCATTTCATTGTGTTTACTCTGCTACTTGTATTAGATGTCTCATGAATATATGCATTTAGAAAGAGGCTGTATTCAGTTACATGCTTGGTAGAGTATGCAAACTCTAGCAAGTGTATGTGTAGATATTGATGACAGAACAACCATATTCTCAGTTTTCTCGTGTATGTATTGAATCTGATTTGTGAGTGCCAAGGGAATATGTTTGAAAGAAAAGGAGTAGTGTCTACATTATATAGGTTGCAAAGACTGAATAAAACATAGTGGGAGGTTTCCTAAGGGTTGATAGGTGTAACCATGGATACGGAAAGGGAAGTAATTATATTTTTTGTTATAAATGCAAGGTTATGAAGGAGCTACCGCGCTGTGAAATCAAAGAATTCTTCTAAGAATAAACTTGACTTTTTCTAAAGCAGTATATCTTTTTGGTGTGTAAACAGATTAAAATATGAGTAATTGCCTTTGAAATACAACACTTGTGGTTCTCTACCAAAATCAAATCAATCATACTGCGGTTTCTGCATTCTGCAATATACAGCAAAACCAAAAACTTGTGTTTGCATGACATTTTCACTAAAATGTTACGAATGGTTTAGAGGTGCAAAGGTTTCAGGATGTGGAGAAATCAAATCGGAGGTAACATAGCGCTCAGTTTTTGTTTGTTCAATTCACTAAAGTATCTTCCTGGAGAAATGCCAGTGGTTTACAAGTTGCAAAAGTTTTTTGTGTTGTCAAAGTCTATTTGTTTTGGAAACACTCAACTTTGCAAAATTAGAATTGACTTCAGTTTGAAAAAAAGAATAGTAATTTGATCAAATCGCATTTTGTTGCATACCTGGTAGTCATTGATTTAGAGACAGAATCACAAGCAATCCACCACTACAATTACGATCAACTTTGATTTAAACAAAATTTGAAACTGTGACTTTCATACATATTCTCAAGGGCATGTAACTACTGATCCATGCCAAATGTAATTATGTTTCCACAATTTTGATAGCCAAATGGAAATTTTTACCTTTAAGTGCCTAAGTTTGCCATCTTTTCTTCCTACTTTTGATTTCTTTATTTCAATTTTGTATTTATGCACTGTTGCAGAAGGAAGTGGACAGCCTCATCCTTCGTCCCACGCCCCCGCACCAACCCCAGCAGCAGGTGCCCCCGTCCCTACCCCAGCCCCCACCAGACCCTCGCCGTCAGTCAATACCACTTCACTAGGTCGCTCAGCCATACCAAGCACTCAACCCATGGGTCACCATGCACAATCCACAGTTACAACACACAGCCAGAGAGGGAATGTTCCTGCTGTCAAGAAAACAGTAAGTATCTTGTCTTTTTTTTAGTGTTTGTTGATCACTCGAATAATAGGTCGAAATCGTGTATGGATTCGATGAATTTGTGTTTTCCTTGGAGCATCTGTACAAGGACTGTCAACCTGTGGGTTGTGGACATGTGGGTGCATATCCAGCCCAAGCTGTTGACAAAAGTCTTTGCTGTGTGTGAACATGCCCCTTCCGTTTCATAGAAGCAGGCAAGTTTACAGTGGGACTGTAGGACACAACCCATCCCTCATAAAGGATATTAAAGCCCATCTGTACTAGTTTGGCCAGAGAGATTAGACCTCCCTGCAAGGTCACTGACAGGTGGTTATCTCTTCAAATCAGCTCTCAATTAACATAAGAAAAAGGGGATCATGGGGGACCAACAGGCACCGATTAGGTATTGTTTGCTATATAGAGGGCGCAAGTAGCTATAAGTAGAACAGTGGGGCTTTAAAGCGAGATCCTGTGGGTAGGAGAGGCACCCTGTTTATTACACATTAATGATAGTCTGTATTAAAAACAGGAATTTATTTACCCTGTAGATGATTGTTGTTTTCATTATGATGGATGCAAGTTTGTAGACCATCAACACCTCCCCATGCAAGGCCTTTTCAGGCTTCATTTTGTACATGACTGTATATAGGTTTCAGGTTCATTAAGTGAAACCAACTGGTAAACCTGATTAATACAAATGTTGTGCTATTATTTTATTTTATTTATTGATTTCTATATCATATTTTAAACATACATATTTTCAACATACCTGTACATAATGTCCATCAGTGTGATATAATTTATGGTTCAAAGTACAATACATGATACTCATACTGTATAGAACATAAAGAGAGGTTTTGTGTTTCATGATCTAATCACCTCTTTAGATATTAAGATATTTATGATTGAAAATATTAATTACAAACACATTCCTAATATGTCTTTTAGGTTTCTTGGGCATGCATATTGTATTGTAGGCAAGTCACTCACCAGTACCCTGTGTGTAGGCCTACTACATGTACCTATGCATTTGAACCAAACATACAGCTTGTGCATTATGTTGATTGGCAGCTCTGGTAAACGTTGGCTCTAACTTTATTGGAGTATTCATTAGATTTAGGTGTATTTTGTAATGCTCTCAACTTTTCCTTTTTTATCCTAGACCACGGGTAGATCATCACAGATTAAGACAGTAACGGCCAGAGTGAGTGGTAGAAGTGAGCTGCAGGCATCCAGTGGCCTTGGTCTGAACCCGCCTATGGCCTCGGTGGTGGTCGAGAGACATCATCCTATTACTCAGGTTAGATTACTGTTCCATGATGATTCCTAACCAATATCAGAGCTACAGAGAAGAAGAATTTGTGTAATCCTCCAAGTCAAGTTCATGGCCCCATTTCAAAAAACTTGTCATCAGTGACAAATGACAGTTTTTGTTTAAGCTACTGAAATCCTTGTTTTTGATTGGTTATCAGCAGATTTGTCACTAAATTTTGTCATTTGTCATTGAAAAAAGGCTTTGTGAAACGGCCCCCAGAACAGGAGTTAAAGATCAAATTCTTTCCATTACTGGATTCTTGCTTTCATCCTAATCCAAACAAGTAACTAGGGAGCTGGCTCATATACTTTACCATCAAGCTAATAAAGATCCAGGAAATTCTTGTTGAATATTCCAAACCAAGTTGTGAACATGTGTCAAAGGTCAAACTGTTTCCATAACCTGGTGTATAAAGCCAAGTTGAAGTTCAGATTACGGTTCTAATGAAAGCCCCTTTTCTTTCATCCTAAATTAGGATGTTGGTATGGGATAAAATTCTTTTCCATTTATTTCTAAACGGAATTGATATTCAGGAAAATATTGTTCAAATATTCTTGAGAAAAAGTTGAGAACAATGGTGAATAGATTCCTTTTCTCTCATCCTGAAACTAAATTAGGGAGTAGGTTCTTCCCCTCTTTTTCAAACAAAGTAATTGGTTCCCTAGGGATTCTGATTCAGAATAAAAAAATAGAGAATTATGTACTCAAGTTAGAATCTGTTCACTAATTTAGAATACCAGTATAGTGAGTATTGGGAATCTAGATTTCATTAATTTGACTTAATTTAAACATCATTCAAAACCAAGGACTTGTGTTTTAAAATCTGAATATCAAAAATGCATGTAGTTGAAGGTAAATGGCAACAAACAGCGCACTATTGTAATAGTAATCTTTACAATTTCTTTCTTTTCTCCAGCAAACAGTCGGTCATGCCACTGCAGCACGGTACCCGATGACGACTACCCAGAGCTTGCCGAGCCATCTAAGTGGTGTGTCATCTAGAGGTGGAAGCAGTATGGCATCCAGAAAGCAGTCCCATACTGTACCAGGTGCACCTACGGTCAAAGTAGTTCACTAATGGTTTCACTACAGACAAGACTGTATTAGTCATACCCTATACCAGATGTACTTTAGGTCATAAGTTGTCCTCTCACGGCGCTACTAGAGTCAAGACTGTATCAATCGCGGAGCCCATTCCTGGCGCACCTGCGGTCAAAGTGGTCTACCGATGGACGACACTAACAAACCAACCCCCGCCATAAGATTGTGCACCTGCATGTACAGTCATAATGGAGCACCAACGGATTTACTTCAGCCCCAGCACGTAGCTTGGTGCACCTGCGGTCAAAGTGGTCCACTTTCATGGTGCTTTGTCAGGCAAGTCTTCTTCAAGGTCAAAGGTGGAAGGGCCAGGGTCTTTGTTGGTGTAAAAGTGCGTAGCCTAGTAACAGCTCTAGTCAAGAGTGCCAGTATGAGGAGACGGACGATTCATGATGGAGGCCAGGGTTGCATGTACTCTGTGCGATGTGAAAGTCATCAGCATCCAGGACACAGCTGAACTAAAGCTGTTAAGCGCTGGGATGTCAACTAAATTTCGTCCTTTGTAAGTTTCTAAACTTTGGGCATGGTCTTTGATTGCATCAAAACAGAACTAATAACCAGTCCCAGTGTGAGAACACAATGATAGAAATTTTCCACCAGAAAGAAGCAAAGACAATGAACTAAGAAAGACTAATTCCTTTAAACTTTTCAATGATTTAAACGCTCCTTGAAAATACTTCTTCCACCAGTGTTACCAGGGTCTCAGTATAGAGATTTTAAAGAAATGAAAATCTCTTGAGATCCAAAATATTAATGGGAAGTCCACCCGATATTAAATTGGTTTTAATAGAAGTAGAAAATGACAGAAATGGGTCAGTGAAAGTTTGAGCAAAAAAATGATTATAGATAAGAATATTTGAAGGTGGATCATTCATAACTTTCTCATTTGTAATCGGATATTGCTCAAACTTTCATTAATTTGTTTCTTTTGTTTTTCTGCTTTTATTAAAATTAAGATACTGTAATATCAGGGTGGAATTTCCCTTTAATAACATATGTCAAAGACTTCATACATGTAGTCCCATATCTTCTGTAATTGTGTTTGTTCTAGTCAGTTTTAATAATAATCTTGAGATCTATAATAATTACAAAAAAGGAAGTGCTCTAAGAATCAAACAACATTGGAAATGAATTTCACAAACTTAGACACATAAATAATCTTTGCCAGAGAAATTTGATGAGAATGAATCTTCAAAAAACTGGAATTTTCAACAAAAGTGAAAGTAAAATGTTGATGAAAAAAATTTAGTCTGCTTAAAATATTTCAACATATTATTCCACAAGTGCTTATCTTTTTTGGTATTTATACTTTTCAAATTTGTTCTGTTATCCTAATTTTCAAATTACATTTGTGCTTAATATGCGTTGCTAGCAGGGCTCAAATTAATTTTTTGTCCACGGGGGCTCTTCCCCCCAAAAAAGAGCCCCCGTGAGCCTTCTCACGGGGCTCTTTTAGTACTGACGGGGGCTCTTTTTTATACAAATATCCATTGAATTGGTACCTATGATACTCCTCAATTATTTGCTATTTCATCATTTTCATTTCAATCAGCATTTTCCCTCTTAAAAATTTACAAGCTACATAGCTGTTACTGGCCTGTGTATATAATATATATGCATACAACACTGATTTTTATGATGTCTTTAACGTGACATATCTTCTTCTCCCCTTGCAAACGAGAAAGAAAACAAGGTCATTAAAAGGGATTAAGCGACGAATAATGATTGTGATTCAAATTGATGCGAATATTTGTTTGAATAAGCACTGCTATTCACCCGAATCTTCTTTGTAAAAACAACTTTTACAAATCTCAGCCATGCTTACTGAGTTGAGACATTCCATTCAAAGTAAAATACTCATTAAAGATTACACTTCTCCTAATCCGAAAGTGATCTTACAACACAGTGGCAGATTTGCATGGCTGAGATTTGTAAAAGTCGTTTTTACAAAGAAGATTCTGGTGAAAAGCATTGCTTATTAAAAAAAATCCTTGCATCAATTTGAATCACAATAATTATTTGTCGCATGATCCTTTTATTAAATAACCTTGTTTTCTTTTTTGTTTGCAGGAGGAGAAGAAGCTATGTCACGTTAAGAAATCATAAAGATCAGTTGTATTATGCGTATATACATTTATGATACCAGAACAAATGTTGATTATCAGAATGTCATTTTGGAATACCTCCTTACAAATACCACATTGTCTTTAGCCCTTATCAGTATTAGTATGATCCAATATATAAAGCTATTTTTCTTTATTTAATTCAGTATAATGCTTTTCTTCAAAAATAGTTTTGCTTTTTTTTTTAGGGTTGAGACGCTAAGAAATGGTTTTAAATGTACATTACACAACCCTGCATGAACCATTGCAAAATGATGGTGGTTCTCTCTCTCTCTCTTTATTTTAATCATGCATTATCAACTACATATAAAGCAGCAACCAAAAACTTAGGGTTATCTGAGATAGGTGAAAGTAAGAGTTAAAAAGAAAGTCATGCTAAAACGGCGCTTCACTCCCCCCCCCCCTGAAAAAAATAAAATAGATTAGTACTCCTCTCTAGCATCCCCCCGCTTTAATATCACATTTTCACTTGGCAGCCCAAAGGAGACGGGGGGGGGGGGGGGGGGGGGGGGGGGGGGGGGGGGGGGTTAAACCCCCCCCCCCCCCCCCCCCCCCCGTAGATCTGCCCATGTTACCATATCGTTCCACGACATCTTGGTCTTCCTCTTCTTCTCAATAGGGACTTTTAGATTTGCGTGGACGTGCACTGGCAGTCACATGTGACGTTCTTTTAAGCACTGGCACTGCCTTAAAAGGAGGTCACACGTTGCAGTCCATGTTCTCATCGTGCCAATCTAAAAGTCCCTAATATTGATTTACTGGTCGAGGTTCATTATTTCTGGTCATTTGAAATCACCAGATTTCAGCGGGTTAACGCTTTCGCAACGAAAAACTTCTCCATGACCATGTTTCTGCCCTTGCGCGATCGCCTCCAGCTCCAGCAGACATGGCGCGGCAGCGTGCACACGTACCGCTACTAACGGCGCAGTAGGCCTATAACCACTGCTGACGGCGGCACTGTGCACTGCGAGCTGAATCGGCAATAATAGGCCTATACTCATAAAACGAGAAATCTTGCACGCTAATCTAAGTTCCATTTCATTGGTTTAAGGTTTGAAAATTGAAACTCAATATTGTGTTAAAGTTATAACAGAAAAGATAATCTTTATTTTATAATTCCACGGGGGCGATTTTTAATTTTGCAATCGCCCCCGTGAGCAACCTGACGGGGGCGAATCGCCCACCGCCCCCGTGTATTTTGAGCACTGGTTGCTAGATTGTGTCTATTTTTATGTGTTGTAAGAAGAAAAAAGGCTTAAATTAATTACGAGGACTGTCCTTTAAAAAAAAAAAGGAATCCCTTCAAAAATGATAATGAATAACAGATTTTAAAGACCCTATCCAATGAAAATACAACTTGATATTAATGGAAAACTGAATGAATTTAGATTAAAAATATAAAGGAATAACAAATATTTACCCTTTCATTATTGCACAAAAGCAAATCGAAACCTCATTTTCCGCTCCCCTCCAAATTATGGGTCAACAGGGTTCAAATTTGCTGAAGTTACAGTGACGACATAACATGTGGACCGACTGATTCACCTATATAGTTGAGGCGATGGGCCTTGCTTAATCGATGCAAAGTCATTGTGAATATGCGTACTCCACATAAGATGATGTCATCATGTCAACAACTTCCAATTTTCAAAGCTTTAGATTTTTAGTTTTTAGAAAGCTGATACTCCTCTGACAGACTCTAAAATGGCATGTAATTGATATTATTGTAATCTATGGCTTATAAGCTTTCCGATGATGTATATAAATCATTTTTCAGTACAGATATTTTCTTTAAATTGCCAATTACATCTGTTTTTGATGTTGTAAAAAAATATAATTGTGTATCTTTGAACAGAATCCCTACAAGGTACGAATTAACTTCTTTGGAAACCCTTCAAAACTAAGCCTTCAGCTATTTATTTTAACAAAATTTTTGTTGAAAGTGTGCACCTGTAATTGACGTAAGCAGGAAATCTGTGTCAAAATATTTTTTCGAAAAAGAATCCTAAAAAAAAATGATCATGAATAATAGATGTTTTTGATGTTGTAAAAAAGTAAAAATAAAATCTTGATTAAAAAATATTAGTGTTGTTTTGAACAGAATCCCTACAAGTTACATAAAGCTGAAAGCTTGTTTCTCTGTATATGTTTTGTTTTTTGTTCCTCTATTCACTATAAAAGTGACTCGATAACCTTGCCTCAGATTTTGAAACAAAATCCTGGATTTAGCTTTATGCTGCAATTATAATTTAGGTCAGTCAGGAATCCCATGACTTTTACAAGCCTAGTATCGCCTGTCTGATTATCAAGATATTTATGATTGGAAATCGAAATCAAATTTTACGTTTTCCTAACAGTTTGTATAACACTACAGTCTATTGAGGAAAATGAGTATGGTAAAACCGGTCACTCAAAGATTTTTACTTTTTTTGAAGCACAATTTTGTTAGGGCTTCAATATTACACGATATCACAGACACTGATTTAACATTGTTAAACAATGCCTTTAAGAATTAATTTGGCCTTGGACTTAAGAATCCTGTTTTGCTGTAGACTGGGAGCTCTACTGCTACCCTCTGTACCATTCATTCTTTACGTTGTATGTCTTAAGAATTCTGTCGTTTGAAACATGTACCTGAATATGATAACAGGCTGAACTTATTCCCTTCACAACTGAAAATGTGTTCTACTCTGTAGCAGATTCACAATTATTCAAACAACATTCCACTTTGTACTTAAAAGATCCCTTAAATTCACAATGCTCTTCTTTCAGAAATCTTATGTACGTAATGTATTTATTTTTTGAGTTGTTATGAATTGTTTTTGTTTATTTCTCATCTTTTTGTGTCTTTACCTGTAATCCTTTTGTTTTTAGCACCCCTAAATGTCCAATATCACTTTCGTTATCATTGGAGTCTTACTTGCATTGTTTATTTGGACTATTTTTTTATTCTTGTAAGAAAATGTTTTTTTCACATGCAAAGACACGTGTATTATTTAAAAAATAGTAGTTTCTATGGAAACTATTCATGACGAAAAAGATATTAGTGACCCTTTGAACAGAATCTCTACAAGTTATAACTTAATGAAATTAATAACATAAAAAGATATGCAACGAAATGTAAGAGATCAAAGTCTCCAATTATGATTTTAGAATAGCAATTTTTATGGAAACACTTTAAAACATACCCTTGACACACTATCTGTAAGAACAATATTTTTTGAAAGTGTTCACCCGTTATTGATATAGGCATGAAATCTGTGTGAAGAAAAGAGATATTTAAGAAATTTAGCAAATTTGCAAATACTTGTTGGAATCGCTCATGCAAGTTGCTACAATTCAAAGATGAAAAAAAGAAGGAAGAAATATAGTCGTGGGAGGTGTATCTGATTTTCAGCAAGGTTTGGTTACGTTTTTGCCGTTTTCCACAAGTCCAAAGAACCTACAATAATTACTGAATAAACGATTGCTTTGTAGACAATTGCCTTTAAATCTCTTTTTACCAGAATTCAAGCATCTTTTGAGAACATTATGTTTATCTGTTGGGCTAGCTGTAGTATTTCACTTTTAAGATAAATGTTGAAACAACAGTCTGGAATATTGGAAGCAAGATTATATAGATGGTGTCAGTCTCAAGAGATTCTTTAATATTGCTGCTATAGTTAAATATATGATTATACGAGTTCCATGTAAAAAAAATTAATTATACATTGAAGCCTTTTTTTATACCCAAATTCTGATTTAAAGATACATTTAGGTATTGTCCTCTTATGTGTTATTCAATCTGGAAGGATAAACCTGTATGTTGTTACTGTAACATTTTATTAGATTTGTAATCTTGTACATATAATTGTAATTTATTGACTGTAAATAAATTTGTGTAAAGAAAGTAAATAAATGATAAGCATAAGAAATATGATATTGTGATTCTCCTATTTCGTATTCTTCTTATCAGACGTTCAGATTGGAGGAATGCTCCAAATACTGAAAGAAAATTTGACACTGAAGATTTGATAAACATACTGATGAATGAAGGGTTGTCCCACAAATTAAATGTCACAACACTCTTTCTCTCTCTCTCTCTGTCTTTCTCTCTCTCTCTCTCTCTCTCTGTTTTTCTCTTTCTCCATTCATCTATTTTGCTAAATTCAACCCCGATTCTATTTCTAAAGTGTAATCAGTATCATATGCCACACCTCAAAATCTCAAATAAATAAGCAAAGCACACA